TGCACTTTTCTTCTCAAGCTGGACAGCACTGAGTAATTTTTTTTTTTGAAGCTAAATTCCTGTAGATGTGGACCAGAACTTTCAAAATCTAAACCAGAAGGATCCAACATCCCAGTCCCTTTCCCAACCCGTCCATTTGAAATGTTAAAATGCCATTACCAGGAGTTCTGTGCACAGGCAGAATTATACAATTGGGCTCACAGATGAAATATCATTCCTGCCTCCACCCAAATAATCACAACGCCCACAGCTCTACTCAAAACTAGAAAATCAAGCTCACCTCAGCTCCTGTCTCCAGCAAAAGCCTTAATAAACTATGCAACATGAAGTGGTAGCATTTGTGTCCCAGCCAGCAGTAAACACCCCAGACAGTCCTCTCTTCTGCCAGCCTCAAGAACAGCAGAATAAAACAGGAATTTATGCACAGACTCTGTCAACTGCTAATTTCCAAACACAGCCAAGGCACAATGATGAAAAGCCCCACTCAAAGTCTATTATTCTTTTTAATCCTTAGATGCCATGCTGCAGCCCATTTTCCATAAATACTGGATTTTACTAACTCTACTAATTCAAAAAATGCATGATAATGACATCTAACTAGTCAGTAACACTAAGGTGTGACTTTCTGAGCAGCTCTTACCCTGCTGGAAGAAATAAAACCCTTTTTTCCCCACCATACAGTCAAAGAATTCCCAAATTACTACAGGGACTTCCAAAGAGCCAGAGACAGGGAAAGTGCATCTAAGGCAGATAAGAAACAATTAGAGTCTATTTTAATACCAAGTCAGGAGCAAATCACCAATTAAAACTTCTCAAGGGTAATTATGTGTAAATTCTACCTCTGCTGTTTTCCAATCATAGCAACAGAAACTACAGCAGGGTTATAAATAAAACTCATTTGCAAGCAACTGCAGAGGAGAGTCACCAGTTCCTCAGCAAGGTCCTGCAAAAGCAAGAGCCTCCTTTCTTTTATTGGCCTTTAATAAACAGAAAGAAACATAAAGCAAGTCCTGCAGCCGTGCAATTGCTCAACCCTGAAGTGTGTTTGGAACGGTGACAGGAAGAAAAATACAGTTAACTCCGAGAGTGAAAAAAAATTAATGGCACACAAATGTTTCTCCAGTGTCATAACAGGATACAGCCGAGCTTGGGCTGGCCTTTGGTGGCCAAGCAGAGGCTGGAAATGGCCGAATTTCAGAATTCAGCCTGGCCCCAGCGTGGCCTTGGGAAGAATAAAGGCCTTATCTCACCCGGCCATGCACAGCACACAGCAACGCCCAGAGCTGGCCAGTGTCCGGCCAGCAGAGCTCCAGAGGCAGGGAATGTGGGCACACTGCAGCAGCAACAGGAAAACTCCTCCAACAAACCCAGCCCAGCTGCCTGGGCTGCAGATGGACCTCAAATCTGCTATCCCCCCCACCAAAAACAGCATCCAGCAACGAAAACCCAACCCAGCACCAGGGAGGGGTGAAAAATAGATTTTTTTTTTTTTTCAGGTTAAAAGATATGGGAAATCTCACCTAAATCCAGAGCTGGATGAAGCTCAGTCACCTGACTGCTTTTAGATACCTTTAGGATAAGAAAGGTCCCCTGGATGTGCAGATTTCCTTCCACTAACGATCAAGTCGAGCCAGATGAGCAGCTCAGGGATGTCTACCTCAAAGAGTTCCTAAGCTCAGCAAGATAAATGCCACCTTAGGAGGCCTCTGAACAAACACAGCACAGCTAAGGGAGGATTAAATTAAGAGGGTGTAAATGTTTACAAACATAAAGGAGCAGAGCAATGAGGCTGGAGATGAAGAGTTTGATACGCTCCAATGGGCACCGGGACTATGAAAAAAAAAAAAGCAGCTGACAAAGTAAAAGAACATCCTGAGGGAAAGAAGGGGAAGTTAAACACTGATTTAACTCCCTCAAATCACCAGCAGCCGTGCAAGGCACCACGGCTCTCCTGGAGAACGCTTTGCTGATGTGTTTTTAAGCTCTTTAGGAGATAATTTTCTGTCTTCCTGCACCCCTTAGGTGCTCCCCCAAACGAGCAGTGTGTGTCAGGAGCTCCTCCACCAACTCAGCACAGCCATTCCACTCTCAGGAGCCTCAACACCTGCTCTGGATTTTTGTTTAATGCCCGATATTCCCCCACTCCCCAGGCACTCGCTTCCCTCCAGACTGAAGGCACTTGAAGAAAAACACACCAGAAATCGATGCTGCTTTGGGAGTTCTGATAACAGAATCTGAGCATAACCACTACCAAAACTAGCTGGGTTAAGGTTAATCCACAGAGAGAACAGACACAGATATGAACTGGCCTGACTGTGTTTCAGCAGTGCCAGACACTAAAATCCATTCAACTTTCCTGGGAAACAGAACAAAAATAAAAGAAGAAAGAAAAAAAAAAAAAAAAAAAAAAAAAAAAAAAAAAAAAAAGGGGGACTTAATAAAAACATAATTTATCATCCTGGCTCCAGAACAGCATTAGAAATGGCCATTCATACACTCCTAATTTATATACTTAATGGTAATCATGACATCATCAAGAGATATAAAATATGTCAAGGATGAGACAAGTGAAACTTGCACAAGGGAAATTTGACAGCTGTCAAATCATCCCCACCTTAAACTGCAGAGATACCAAAGGAAATATCTGCTGTCTGTAATGTGGATTTAGGCAGCTCTATATATGCAAAATGCAAATATGTAAAGCTAATATGGAGAAAAATCCAGGCCCAAGCTACCCTATTATATTCCTAATACCATCTGGCACTGATGCAAGCTGGCTTTTCCTGGTTTAAGGCAATTCCCATCTCAATCCCACCAAGGAAGGTGACTGACAAACACAAAGAGAATTGAACATGTCAGATGATTTATCCACGGAGATCTAATGACAGTGGAGGCATCAACATTATTTCTATTGCACCTGCTTTGCATTCTGAGCTTCAGAGGCAGATTGAAAGAGGCAACAGAGACTCCCCAGGCCTGAAGAGGAATATTCTGTAGAGACAAGAGTGAACAAAATCCAAAATCCATCCTCTCCAAATCCTGCACAATGCTGGGGATGAAAAGGAATGGCAGAGATGGGAACAAACACCACCAGCATGTCTGGGGTCCTGCTGAAAGGTTCAGCCAGGGAATAAATCAGAGAATCATCAGAGAATCCCAGGATGGATTGGGCTGGGAGGGACCTTGAATCCCATCTCATTCCCATAGGGTGCTGCAGCCTTGGACACTTCCAGGGATCCAGGGGCAGCTACAGCTGCTCTGGCACCCCTCACCATCCTCAAAGGGAACAATTCTGCCCCCATGATCAATCTAACCCTGCTCTGAATTTGAAACCATTCCCCCTTGTCCTGTTACTCCAGGTCTATTAAAATAGTCTCTCTCCATCTTCCTTGCAGGCTCTTTCAGGTCCTGGCAGGCCACAATGAGGTCACCCCAAAGCTTCTCCTCTCCTGGCTGAACCATGACTTTGCAGCCCAGAGGTGAAAAATAGTGACAAGGAAAGATCCAGTTCCCCCACATTCCCCCAGCCATCCCAGAAATCCGAGGGCTGTGGAGACAGCTCCTCACCTGACATTAAAAGCCTTTTGATCCAAAACCTTAATGGAACACCAAACAGAAACATCCTCCTGACATGACTGGGAGCAAAAGGAAATGAGACTTTTTTTTTTATTTGGCTGCTCCAATTCAATAATGGAAAGTATTTTGTTTTACTAACAAGTAAATTAAATTCCCTGTTCTCGTGTTTCTCCTTTCCATGCATCACTCAGCTTTGGGATGAAAATCCTGTCGTTCTTTTTTGATATCATGCAACCTCCACAAGACATATGGCCTGAAGTACGTAACAAAATCCTCACAAATCCACTGAAATGCCTTTTTACTGTCACTGCCTTGCCTGCTACAGAGAAAAACATCCTGCAACTCAAGAACCATTCACGCACTCCAAAAGAGAAAATTCTGCTAGTACAAACTACCAAATTAATTGCCAAGATTTAATACTGTGTGAACAGTTGTAAACACGGATTGCACACAAGTCTGAGCCCTTTGGACTGTGCTGTGAGGACTTGAGTCACGAAAACGCCTGGGTTTAAGTGAGAATCACACTCAGTCTCTCTCCTGTCCACATCTGGAACCTAAAATTGGTGAGCTCGAGCACCCAAAGCATCACTGCTCCATCCCAGCTTCGCTGCTTGGTCATGAAAGGCCTTTGCCACACACTTTCACACCTTAACCACCAAACAACCACGGTGAAGATACAACAAAACACATTACATGGTTTTTACAGCATACAATGTCAAAAAAAGGTATCTTTGCTCGCATCAAAAAAAATCTGAAGACACTCATTGCACTCACTCGCATGTTAAAATGTTTCCTACTTGATTATTTTTTTTGTCACATTTTTTTTCCCTTCCTCTGAAACGCCCGAGCACAAACAAGAGGACTCCAGAGGCAATGGAAGGCACCTGCAGAGCAGCCCAGGGGCCCGAGCAGGTATCTGGAGGCAGGTTCCTGCTAAGGTAGACACCAGCAGACATTCCTGCTTGTCAACTCTCCCTCCTGCCCTCACCTGGAGTGACCTCCCGGCAGTACTCGACCCAAGGAGACCCAAGCGCATCCTCAACACGCTGTCTGAGCTCAGGCTTGAGCTGGATACCAAACTCTGGTGGCTTCTGCTGCTCCAGCTCCCTGCAGGAGCCCTCGCTTTCGGTGTTCCCCGCAGCACCAGCCCGTCCTGGGAGCTGAATTACCACCCCTGGCTCCTACAAAGTCAGCCTGGCAGGCCTGAAAGCTGCTGGACTTGAAATGCTCCGGTTTCAAAGTTAACCCAGTTGCTTTGACAGTCAGGACACCCTCGGTTCCCAGAACCTGTGATTTAATCCTGCTCTTCTGATCCCGTCTGTCACTGAAGCCAGAACACAAAGTACGTGAGCTCTGCGAATATTCACACTTCAAAAAAAGGAAAAAAAATAATAAAAAATCAGGAAATCTCATTTTATACTGACCTGTCCGTGATTGTGGACTGTGTGCCACTCATTGGAGCCTTTGGCAAGAAGTCGTATTATCCAATTTACATTTTACTCTTATTGCAGGAATATGAACGAGGCTTTGCCCCTTACATGCACCGAGGTTCAGGATCCAGCCTTGCTCCAGAAGAGGCATGCACAGAGGACAAACTCAGTTCAAGGGCAGGAGAAGGGAACAAAAAAAAAAAACAACGAAAAAAATACCCAATCCAAAACAACTCCAAAACTCTTCTCGCAGTCACCCAGAATATCCAAACCACGGAAGTGGGGCGCGGGGGAATAAAGGAAAAAAACTCCAGCAAGAAAAAACTCCAACAAGAAACAACAAAACAATCTCGGGGGGGGGTAAAAAAAAAAAACAACAAAACCGTCCGAGCAGCGGCCGATCCTCCCCGGCCCCGCCGGGCTCAGGGGCAGCGCTCGGGGGGCGGGCGGCGCTCCCCGCCCGGAGAGGCGGGAGCGGCGCGTCCGGGGGAGCCTGCGCCGAGCCGAGCCGGGCCGGGCTCGCCCCTCCCCGGCGCCTCCGGGGGGCTCGTACCTCCGGCCGCTCCGCCCCGCCGCCGGATCCTGAGACCGGCCGCCCTCCTCTTCCTCCTCTTCCTCCTCCCTCTCTTTCCCTTCTCCTCTTTCCCCTCCTTCTCCTCCTCCTCCTGCCTCGCAGCCCTTCCCCCGGTCCCTGCCGAGGCCTTTCCCCTTCGGGAAGCGTTTTCCAGACCCGCGGGGTGTTTCCTTCACTTCCCGTCTCCGCTCGGTCGCGGGCGCTCCTCCCTCACCCTGTGTTCCTGCCGAGCAGCTTTCCATCCCCCTGCGTCCCTAACCCGAGGAGATTTCCCTTTTCCCCTCTACCCCTTTTTCCCTTTTTCTCTTTTTCCCTTTTTCTGCTTTTCCCTTCTCCATTCCCCGTCCCCAGCCAGCCGACGCTTGGCCGTGTCAGCAGCGCTGAGAGCAGGGAGCGCCCGCGCCTCCATCTCCATGGAAAATATGACACAGGCGAAACTTGGAGCAGAAAGAAAATAAATAAGCAGCGAACGAAAAGAGTAGAAGTGCCAGGAGCTGAGCAGAATGGAGCCTCAGCCTGTGCTGTTTGCTCCCAGGCCTTCCGTGGCTCTGTTGTCCAGTCCCGCATTTCCCACGCGTGTTTCGTCGGGAATTTTCCTACAGGTTAAGGTCAGCATAAATCCAGAACTGATCCCTCCCTGCACGTACATTCCAGAAACACTGCTGCCGAGGGCCTGTTCCTGCTCCCCTTCAAAAGCTCCAGTAGCAGTAGTTGAGCCACACGGGGTGTTTGGGCTTTCAATTTCAGCAGGTTTGGATTTCCCTCTCCTCAGCCACAGCCTGAACACAAACTCAGCCTTGCTGTAATTCCTGCCCTCCGTGCCGTGTACAACACAGTCCGAGAGAGAAATGCCTGTTTGGAATCTGCACACAATCCCAGGATGGTTTGGGTTGGAAGGGACCTTAAAGATGATTTTGTTCCAACCTTCCACTATCCCAGCTTGCTCTGACCTGCCCTTGGGCACTTCCAGGGATCCACCACAGCTTCTCTGGGCAGCCTCTCCACCATCACAAGGAATTATTTTTTTTTTTCTAATATCCCACCTAAGCCATTCCCCCTTGTCCTGGCACTACGAGCCACTTGTTCTCCAGCACCTGGAAATAACATCTATACCTGAGACCGTCAGGAAACTTCCGTGCTACTCCTGCAGAAATTAAAGCTCATGAGCAGCACAGATGTGCAATGAAAAGCAGGATGTCTCCGCTGCCAGTAATTCCTGCCCCCCTCTGCACAAAGGAACTTGTGGAACATCAGCCTCCCCCAGCAAATGCCAGCAGACTAAAATAACCTTATTAGCTAATCCCAATCATCTAGGACACCGCGCTTCTTCCCTTTAATTAATCTTGCCGGGATGTACTTCAAAGCCAGGACACTGGGCTTGGAAAGAGGCTGGAGAACAGGCTCTGGAAAGTGGGGAGCAGCTCCCTGGCTGGGACACAGGACCATACCTTGCCTGAGGCTACATCCAGCCACGGCTGCTCTGGACCCCGGCGCTGTGTCCTGCTCGGAGCGAGGATCGGCAAGCCAGCAGAATGTCTGAGATTTTGTTGTTTTGATGGAGCTCAGAGCAGAGAGGGGAAGCGTGGGATGAAATCATGTTCATGATACTTCACGTATATACGCAGGACATTTATACTTCCTTTTTTGGTTTCCTTTTAGGGGAAAATAGAGGCTCGGGGGGAAGAAAATAAATAAATAAAGTGTGGGAGTGCAAGACAAGCAGCCACGTCTGCCTCTCCTTCTGCAGCTGTGTGCAGTACAGTCATCAGTGCTGATGAAGTGACTGAATGCCTCCATATATCTATATTTATTTATTATATATCTCTTTATTGCATCTTCTCTGCAATAAATCCCTCCCTGCTTTTAACTTTGGGAACATGGAGTACTCTGCCTGGAGAGGGGAAAGCTCCTGGGAGATCTGATTCCTGGCAGGCCCAGCATTTGCATATTAGGCCTCGATGCTTTTTTATTACTTTAATTACATTTTATTGTGCATGACAACATAACGAGAACAATTAGCTGGAGGAAATCCTAAGACATAGATTCTGAAACTGTTACTGCTTCTCTTTTCTGCAGATGCTGATTTTTTTTTTTTTGGTGGGAGCTGGTTACATACTTAGATTAAGATAGATATTTATGATAATTCTCTTTTACAGCCTGAAATACAGGGTGAGGAAATCAATAAGCAATTACAGTGTGCCCATTATTTATTTTTTTTTTGTTGAGCTCTGAAGTTGTCACTTCACCTGAATTTACACACAGAACCATCCCATGGCAGCAGGGTTGGAGCAAGACAATCTTTGAGGTCTCTTCCAACGCAAACCCATTTTGTGATTCTCTAATTAACCTCCTCAATCTGTTTTTTCGTCCACAGCAGAGCTAAGCAGGACCCTGAAGGGGAGGAGATAAATTCCTATGGAGTAAAACTTCTTATTTTACCTTAAAATAACGGTCAGATCCTTGGAGGTGCTTTAGAGGGGTTCCTGTAAAATCAGATTTAGAGAGGAAGTGTTGAGCGAGGATCCTTTGGCCAAACCCCCTTTCCCAGGCTCGCACCGAGGAGCTGTTGCCATCTGCTGGGAAAGCCTCGAATGGCTCCTCCAACCTGAGCTCCCGGGCAGGTAAAAGGTGAGGAATTTGGGAAAAGGAACATTCCCAAGAGGTCTGGGATCCTGGAGCTCTGGGATGCTCCGAGGGGGTTTGCACCGCTGTCAGCTCGGCATAAAAAGAGAGAAAAATCTGCAAAAAGTGATGCTTTAAGTGTGGATAAACTGTGCCTGGGAGCATTTCTCTTTCAGAAAAATTCCAGTTTGTGTTTCAGATGGGATGATCAGCTGAGTTTGGCTGAGCTCCACCACAAAAATCAAGTGGGTAAAGACTCTTCTGCTCATTACAAGTAATCAATTTCAAGCCAGTGAGAGAATGCTCAGGTATTTTGAACTGTAAATGCTCATAACAAGTTGCTCATCCAGCTCCTGTTTTTCTGCTGGTTTTGCAAGCCAAATGCCAAACCTTTACACCTTGGAGGGAAAAAGCACAGGGGAAACAATTCCCAAGTTCATTTCCCAAATGTGCCTAGAAATTTGTGACTCCTAATGAACAGAGAACCTAATCCACAAATAAATTTGTGCTGTGCTCCACATTTCTGTGCAATTTCCAAGCCTTTTTTCACCTCCCACCTTAAAATGGGCACCAGATTTGCTCCCTACAGTCCTGCACTCTGGAAATGCTGGAAATGCACCCAGGGCTGGTGTGGGACACAAAGCTTTGCTGATTTTGAGACACATTTTGAGCCTAATCTAGCAGAGCTTCTAGAGTGACAGCTTATTACAGTTCCTAAATCTGGATAATCCATGGGGCAGGCAGCATTTTTACAGCACTGAGCTTTCGTTCCATATCAGCATAATGAAAGCAGCAAGGACAGAGGAATCTGCTGGACATCGTGCCCTGAGTTTCCTTCTCTTTCTCCATCTCTGGCTGGAAGGGGGATTAAAAAGTAAGAGATAAAATCTAAAGAAATAGAGAATGTAATTTCACATTTGAGGATTGTGGCACAAACAGCACTACATTTTCAGCACTGCTGAAAATCTGTGTTTTGTAACATCTGAGAATCTGAAACTTCCTTCTTCCCATACAAAATTATCTACCTGTAAACCTTTATTACTTTACAGAAGCTTTTCCATCTACCTTGATCTGTTATATTTCTTCTTTTAGTAATTTTCTAAGGATCTTTTACGCTGTTGACCTGTCAGCTGCCAAGCTGCCCCTGGAACTTGAGGCAAAACAGGGCTTTGACTTCTTTGGACATGGCAAACCCCATGATATTAATGTAATAGCAGATTTCAAAGACTTAAAATGCTGCTTTTACATCAGTGCCTGGACTACTGCTGCAAGGGAACAAAGCTGTGAATATAAAAAAAAAATTCAGTTTTTTCAAGTCCAAATAAGGAGTTCAGCTACAAAGAGAGGGCAGAGGACTGATAGAGGAGGTTAATTTTACAAAGCTCGACTGCAGGGCCAGCAGGAGAAGCAAAAGGCAGGCAGCAGGGTTGCCTGTAAAGACATAATAGGATGACAAAAAACGAAATTAATTGGGTGTAGAGGGGCAGCTTTCACTTTTCACAGACAAAGCACATCTGACCACTGACAATGCCACATTTTGTCACTTCTGAAGACACGAGACCTGTGAGACACTTGCAGCTCTGAAGCAAAGCTCCAGAACTCTGCTGTACTTTCTTCTCTGCTTCTGGAACTACCTCAGAGGTTCAACAAAGCGCCGGCACAAATTCTTGCAGGCTCTGAGACCCTCCACCCCCAGGCTGTAAAGAGAAAACATCTCCAGAGGGCTCAGTGCTGCTCAGCAGCTGCTCCCCAGTGCTGGAGGGGTTTAAGCTGGACTTAAGGGTTACATGCAAACAACTAAATTGGCTTAACTATTTATAGAAGGGAAGACTTTGGGTGTGCTGGGTCTCTGGCTATGGCCATCAGCAAGCTGAGTGGTTGTTTACCAACACTCCACCACAGGGCTTTCCTGGGCAATAATCTGAATTTATGATTGGGAAGAGCTCACAGTGTGGAAACACAGGAGAATCTTCTCCCGTGGCATCCAGGGCATGGAAAACCAAGGGAAGAATTTTGCTCCATCCTATTGAACCACTGAATCTTTGAGGGTGGAAAAGCCCTCCAGAACCATCAAATGCAACCTGTGACTTCAGAGCAGCACCCAAACAGAGAAACCCAATTCCTCATATAATTAAATAATCTTTATTTTTATAAAACATAATACAAAGCATCTACACCATTCACTGGTGGAACATTAGTTGCTATTACACAGTAATTCAGACACAAGTTATTATTTCACACTAGTTCTGCAGTTTCCTTTCACAG